GCAGCCGCGCGCGTCTTGTCAAAGTCAATTACGTTAAATCGTGGAAATCACAAGAAATGCACCTTATTGATAGTGCAGCCGATTTTCAGCGGATTTACTAAAGAAGCGGAGATTGAAGATGGGAAATCCACTCATTCACCACCTAGTGTAGTTTTCACGAATAGCCGGATGCATGTTGTGCAATCAATTTATCGATTTGTTCTTTGCGTCAAAAATTTTGTTGCCTTCTAATCTTTTAAACTTCTGAATTTCTGGCATGAAACTGATATAAAATAGATCTTAGGCACGAAACTACCTCCATCATCATATGTGACTGCTAATGAGTTATGGCTCGAACCAGACCTCACGCAATCCAAACTCCCAAAATATTTCAGAATTCTGGTTGTTTTCATTCTGCTCTACTCTAAGAAAGATATCTTATTCCTTTAGAATCTATGATGTTCTTTCTGTATTTATGATTCCACACACTGGGCGTCACCACACCTTGAAGTTTTTTTTTTTTTCAGAATCTTAGTACAGGCTCTTCGCTGGATTCTGAAACAAGTCATAAGCGCAGGCTTATGCCTATGATGTATCAAATGTACGAAAGTCAGGTAAAACAATTCATTCTGCTAATATCCGTCCTTTAATATGCTAATATCCAAGTTTGTATGAAAATGCGTAAAATTTAGTATGAAGACCTTCGCGGCACCATTTACGGCCCAGACAGTCCAGACTTTCACCCAGCTCAGGCTAGTGAGACTTTGAGAAAGGCGCTTAGCGGAATGGGTAAGAGAAAGTTCGGAACCTCTGTTGTGAGACATATTTAACCCAAGATAGTTGCAGAAACCAAGGATCAAATTGTGATCAATACGCTCTTATTCCATAACAACTTTCAACGCCAAAAAATCCTTAGCGCCTATGAGGATATGTACGGAAGGGTTAGTGGAGTGATCCTGAAATTTTGAGATTACTAGATTATTAATGTCTAAACACTGATTTTAGAAACTGATCGACGATCTGGAGGAAGAAGCTGGGGGATATTTTCTAGAAACGGCTCAAGCCTTATTCAAACCCGCGCCTCAGTATGACACGATGAATCTGCATCGATCAATATCGGTAAGTTACCGATATTTCAATTGATGATTACTATGGAAATAAGTCCAGAATTTTTTAGAATC